ACTGTCTAATGTGTAAAGAAGACACAACACAAGCTGAACGGGCTCCAAGATTAAGTTTGGCAACGCATTATAAAAATCAAGCCAACCCTTTGTGGTGGTCTCGGTAGTCCAGTTCGTCAGCCAGTTGGGTCCGCAGTGCTCCAGGGCACCGCTGATGCCAACACAGCCAGTCTGGCTCATTGGCAAGACTTGGAAGAGCAGATAAGTCACTAGGGGTAGGGACTCTTCAAACTCAGCTCCTGGCAATGCTGCAAGCCAAAGCCCTAATGGATAGGGTGGTCCTAGTGGAGAAGCAGTGGGAAACTTGGCAGGCAGTGCATTCAATGGCAAGCTATGAGGTTTTAGCTGGTTAGACACCAGCAGTGCCCCCAATACACACTCTTGTCAATCTGCCCCTAATATATTTCCAGAATTAGGTAAGCAGGATGTGTCCCTCCATGGAGACAATGTGCATTCCATTCCAATAAATATCTCTGGGATTTCCATGTGCAGGTGGGTACATAAAACTCTCAGGTTGATTTGGATACTTTTAAACTTGGTGATGGGTTTCCACACGTGTCAGACATCCGGCTAAACACCCTAAACACAATCCAGGCTGCTTGGTTGCCTTAACATCACATGCTACAGTATAACATGGCACCAGAACTAGCATTCAGGAGAATTTAAAGACGAATGACAAAAGAAGATTTTTAACTACAACTCGTGTCTCCAAAGTGTGACTTTTAAGCAGAAATTGTATCTCTTTGTTCTCTTTGCTGCGTAGACCCAGAAGCCTTTAATGCTGTAATTTCTAAGTTGCAATGCTATTCAAGGAACATTTTGTTCCTCAATCATGACAGAGCAAAGTAAACACAAACAATAATGTGGGGATAGTACCGTACAATTTAAATGCAATATTTAAATTTAATATCATGTCAGTTATTTAGTCTTTCTCTAGATTTTGATTTAATTTCGCTCTTGCAGTGCTAATGGTAGACAATAATAACTTTGCCCTGCCTGGGAATCAAACCCAGGTCCTCTTGCTTTGTGAGGAGAGTGGTCTAACCACTAAGATACAGGACTCCACAAAGTGGAGTGTTGTGGTTTAATGCTAACATGGATCAATGTATTCATGCGGGTTTGGTTTTATTGCAATGGATGTCTTTTACACCCATGAAATCAGAAGAATTAAAGCCTTCAGAAAACTTCTACATTTTTTTACCAATCAAAGACGTCAAAGAAGGTTAAAAGGCATAGTCCCAGACAAGAAGCAATTAAATACAGTACAGAACCCAGAATGATTCTACATAGCTTGCTCCAAATCTGGGACTGGAATTACTTAAGACTACCGCACTGGGCAACAAGCTGTGTAAAGGTGCCTCAGGGAATGCAATAAAATCAAACCAACTTTACAATCCAAAGGCACAGAAGCGTGTACCTATGTATTCAATCGAGGCTTGAAATATGGCTAATTCTAAAATCTGAGGAGAATCCAACAGATTTGTTTTAACATTCAACAATTTTTTTAACTTCCCCACAACAACTACAACAATACAATTACATTTTTATAGCGTCTTTCACGTGGGTCGGTCGGACGTCCCAAGGTGCTGGACAATCAGTGTTATTTTCCTTCCTGCAGTACAACCCTGTTAAGTGCCTCATTCGAGCATGAACCTGCTTTTAATGTGGGAGTCTTGTGGAGACCACTGTTACTGGAAGTGCAACTTGCATTTATATAGCGTCTCTCCAGCAAGGTGGCGTCCCAGAGACAGCTTCCCCCGCTAAACAAATGCCAAAGTCTGGCTTTTCAGTTTACCAATGTCACTTCCTGCATGTGTGCTACCTGAAGGAAGCACCACTCAGGTCACTCCACAAAAAAAAGTGCCAAGGAAATTAACTACTGCGGCAACTTGAAGGCCTGGAATTTTTCGTGCTCCCTTTTAAGTTGGTTCCTGAGATATTGTACCCAAAACAACCATGGTGTAACAGGGTTGTCCTGCATTTCTTTCTATTCTATTAGAGAGAGCCAGCACAGGTGCTCGCTCTCCTGTGTGGTTCAGGCCAGCATAGTGTTTTTTCCGGAGAAAGAGCCAAGGACTCAGGTATTTGTAACTGAACAGAGTTATCATCCCTATAGAACAGAGCTAAGTGTGGAAAAACGTATCAAATCTTGATGGCAGAGTTGATCGCCTCAGCTGCAAAAGATAGATGACATACACCTTTCCAGCCTAGTACCATGTTCAGTCTATCTCTCCCTCCAGTGATTCACCAATTGCAATCTTTGATGGGGAACTAATAACTCTGTACAAGCAGAAGATGAGACCAGAGTGAGGCACAGCACTCTTTCCAGGCTCTAGGTTTCTCACTCTCTGAGAAAGTTACGTATCCAATCCAATATCTCAACAAATAAACTGCAAAAAGGCCAGTTCCTCAAGGAGGCTGGGATACTGTACCCGATCAAAAGGTCTCAAAATGCTGGGGGCATCTCCTCTTACTTTGATCATGAGCGTCACTGTTACTAATTTGCAGTTCCCATAATTAAAATGATTCTCTATTTCTTCCTTGATCTCTCCAGTGCTTTCATTCTCTTTCACTCAATTTCTCTTTCTACACTTCTCAACCCATTAATGACTTGCAATCATCCTCCCCAAACACATACACTTTACTGTTTAAATCTTGGTCTTTCTCTTCCATCACCTTTCACTGTTCCTTCTATTTAGCAGTCTAATTTTTATATTATGTATACAGTAACCTCAGCACCACAGACAAGTCCTCGAAAGAAATGAGGCAATTTACACTATGGAAGTTGCTAAACGTCAAATTTGATTTGGAGCAGAATAGTTAGCGCTTCTTCACTTGAAAAACAAATAAAAATCCTTCCCCTAGCAACTCCCTTTGGTTTAAAGGTTTGTTTTGTCCGTAGGGATTTGTCTGATATGTCAAAGTGCTGTGTGTGTTCTCTTGTCTCGGTTGCGAGCTCTCCCTTGAGAGCCTCTAAGACTGCTTGTGGGATTAGATCTGTCAGCATGGAGGCTGGTGGACTGTTTACCAAGAGCTCTGTAAATCACTTCTGTCTCCAATTACACTGGGATCAGCAGAAGTCTGTAAATTCATCGCACTCACTCTTCTTGCATCTGACATTTCATTTAGTTTCCATTTTAACAGTTTTTTGCGAAATCCGTACTGTCACATCGATACAGCTTTTCACGTAGAAAGAACGTCTCAAGGTCCTTGACAGATAATACAATGGTGGGACTCAAGGAGTTAGAAGTGAGCGATGGATTAGAGTGGGAAGAGAAAGACACGGACAGGAGAATTGGCTGGAGATTACTTAGGTAGTGAGAGGCCGGACTGTGGAGGAAATTTAAAAGGACAATGATCTTAAGGTCAATCCGCTGAGGCATTGAAAACCATTAGAGCTTGGCAAGTTTGGGAGGTAGTGGATATGCAAAGCCTATTGAGGGAGATAACATGGGCTGCTGTTTAGTTTAGAGCTTGCGAATACTGGAGCTAAACAGGCTACTGAGGGGAGCATTGGAAAGGTCTATCCTCAAGCTGATGAATGGATATTGGATGTTTCAGCAGCAGAGAGAGTGAGGTAAGAGTGTAAGGTCATGTTTTGGGAGATGGAAACAGCAGTTTTAATGATGGATCAGATTGCAGGGTGGGGTTTGAAGCACATCTCTTGAAATGGGATTGGCGAGAGGTAAGCAAATAGTTGGTTGGCTGTGACGCGGTGTTTAATTACCTTGGAAGACGGGAAAAGTTTGAGTGGTAGGTTAACGTAGAAAGAACGAGAATAACAACTAATGGAAGAATATTAAATTAAAATAGTATGTAAAATAAGAGATTGCAGAATACTCAGCAATTACTGATGTGCACAACACAGTGGGAAGAGGGCGAGTAGGCTGTGAAGTGTGTATAAAGAGCAGCTTACATGGTCAGATGTAAAGCACCAGCTAAAGAGAGTTTGGCAACTACTTTTATCAGCGTCTAGTTGGCAAGGTTACATCCAGCTACATATAAATGAATCTCAGCATTCTGCGGGAGCTTTTCATATCATGGACATTTTTCAATTAAAATGGTGCCCTCACGTTGTCAATAGATAGCGAGGGTTGCATCAAACAAAAAGACATGCAATAATTAATGCAGAATTTCAAAGATCATTACACATTTGTTTAATCGACTGGTTGCAATTGTCGATTTATACAGAGCTTTCAGCAGCTGTCAGACCCTGCTATATCACACTTAGTGATTAAGGAGGTGTTTCCTCCGAGACCCTATAAAATCTAAAGCGTCCAAGATAAAAAATGTTTTATCTTAGAATAAGAAAAACAACCCGAAATAAAACACGCATCGTTGAGTTTTCTTTCCAACTCTCAACAGCCTCAAAATACCTCATACCTCATAGCTGCAGGTCCTATTTGCACCACTGTCATTTGTCTCACATTTCTGTACCAAGAGTAGCCACCAAACAGTGAGTAATCAGTAACACGGTCTCAGAAATTGGTCTTTTTCTATTCCAGGCTGATCCCTTCTCTGATTTTTTTTTACATTATTTCTCCTTCACCGATTTTCTCCACTCAACACCAACAAATTGCACTTATACAAAGGATACGCAGGGCAAGGACTTTTCTTTTCTTTCACAACTTCCCACTGACTTGTAACATTTCCAAAGACTTGGGATTAGTTAAAAACACCTACTGCAAAAAAATTAACTGCAGACAGATTTAGAATGAAACATAAACTGTGGTTGCAGAGAAAGTGCCGATAACTACACTAGAGCATTTCACAGAGCAAGTAAGACTTCAGGGTCTATACGTTATTCATTAGGAACTGGTCAAAGATAACAACTTTTTAAAGACAAATGCATAATGTATTATCTATAGACCCTGTGGATACTTTGCTTCACTCAACACACCAGGCCACTGCCAACACGCTTCAGATACAGAAACAATATAATTCACACTTTTCTCCTTTAACTACGTTCAATGCTCAAAAGGGGAGCCACAGCGACTTGCCTTGTTGAAGTCTTCAGACGTCGCTCTCATCTCCTTCCAAGTCTTGTTCAGCAGCTGGATACAGATGCAGAAGAATTCCTCAAACGCCCGGTCGTGGATGAAAAACATGGGGTGGAAGTCATTGCAGGTGTCACTGGCTGCAAGTTTGCACCAAAGTGTCAGGAGAGGAGAGGAGAGAGTGAGAGAGAACATCTTATTACTCAAGATTTACTCCACTTTCAGCATCTACACCCCGCCTTCATCAACTCTTTCTATCTTTCCATCTCACCTCCTCTCTATCTATCTTTAAATCCTGATTAAAAACCTACCTCTTTGATCATGCTTTCGTCCACCTCCCCCTCCCCCCTTACTGGGCACTATAAAGATCTCTGAGACGTTATTCTACGTGTAGGGTACTGTATAAATGCAAGTAATTATTTCTGTACTCCGCAAATCCTAAATAAGTGGACTTTGTGGGATTAAAATATAAAATACACAAAGCAGCTGAAACTAAAGTTCCTATTGGAATCCTATTGGCAATATCTCTGCTGACAATCATTGGTTCTCCACACGACAAGGCAAATTCTAGAAGAAATTGTGCAAATATCCTGCGTTGACACAAAGAATGTATCACATTCCTCATGCCTCTAAACCGAAGCTTCTAAAGTCCCATTTATACTGCATGGGGAATCAATGCAAATAAGGCACCAGATTGGTACTGAAAATGTAGGATAATTATCTGTTCTTTTTTCGGGAAGCCTGGTGAAAGAAACTGCCTTAGGAAGGAGCTTTTATGCACTAACACTAGGTGCAGTGAATATTTTGTTGTATTCTTATAATGGTTCATTCCCAGTATACAATGAAACCATTTGTTACAGCTAGCAAGCAGTGCCCACTGATCCCCGTAAATATTAGTAAACCAAGTCATGACTAAAATCTATAGGGCATTTGGGATAAGATAGGACAGTCCCTATAATGCTAAAGAAATAAAGGAACTGGAAGCTCAGGTTAATATTTTCAGACTAGAGGATGACTGGAGATACAGACTTCAAGGTACAGTAATGATCTGGGAATTTAGTGTATCAGGTTATCAGTCAGTCTGAAGTTGGTTCAGCACCACGGAGAGCACACAACGAATGGTAAATCTATGTAAATGCAGTCTCACAAAACAGTGACTGCTTATCCCACTTCAAAGACTGAATCGTGAGTAACGGTGTAATGCAACATTGATTGACCAACTAAGTACCCTTCTGTCTTGAGGTTGAGACAAATCTTTCCACCAGGGTTGGGTGGATCAAGCAGTTTGGAGGCTGCATTTTTAATCGCAGTTCTAATCTTTCTACCTGCAAGTTGCTGATGCCAAGCAAAGGCTAAAAGATCAAAGTCAAATGACAAACTGCGAATAACAAATGACAAACTGCGACAGAATATTTTACCAACAACTATCGATGATCTGGAATCAATACAACAGGTAGTAGCCAGGTATCATTGTTTTTTTGTGCAAGTAATGCAAAACCTTTTTTCTTCCTAAAACCTTGTATAACATTTTTAAGCACCTGTGCTAAAACTCTACTGTAATATAATAATATTAATCCCTGCATTTGATGTCTCACCTTATCACATCATCGAGACATCTCAAAGTGCTTCACAGGAAACACTGTAAATAGGATTGACTGTGTATTTTGAGGGTGCACCAAAATTTGCACTTGTATAATACATTTTACATAGGATGAATACCTCAAAGCGCTTAATCGATGATGACAAGGCTCAAAGTAGGGAGGACTAAGGATGTTGACTGAAAGCACACTCAAAGAGAAATACTTTTAAAAAGGTGGGGACTTTATCCAGGAGGTAATAAAAACAATAATAATCATCTTTACATTCGGTATAGTGCCTTTCATGTCAGAACTTTTCACAGGATATACTATAAAGTGCAGTGACTGAGTATTTGTAGGCAAACATGGCAACCAAGTGCACAAAGCTATGACTCACAAATAGCCATGAAACAAATTACCAATTTTATTTGGGGATTGTTGGCCAGAACCCGGGAGAAACTCCCTTCTCTTTGCAAATAGCACTGTGAGATCTTTAATGTCCATCAGAACAGGCCGACAAGATCTAGGTTTAATATCTCATCCAAAGGACAGCGACTTCTGACAATGCAATTCACACTCAGCAAGTCCCAAAATGGGACTTGAACCCACAACCTCTGACTCAAAGGCGACTAACTAATCCAGCCTGACACAAAGGTTTTGTGCCCGAGTTTGCAAAGCTGTGGTGTCAAGACCTAGATTTATGAAAGATGTCCACCCTTTACTAAACCCTGTGAATAGGGACAACATTACAGCTACCTAATCAGTTAATCACTGAATTTTATAAATTCACAGATTATAAATCAAGCATAATTTTTTATTTATTGTAAAGAGCCACCCACAATTATTTTCACACAAGCACACACATATTAGGTCCCCCATAAAATACCATAAAAATAAAAAAAATACAGGCTATGGTGGGTGGGAGGGAGAGAGAGAAAAATAAAATGAAGCAAGCAAGATAAATGAAACTCCTGCACTCCATCCAGATGAAAATTACGTCTGTGTGGGCCATTCCATATACGTATGCTAAAATGTTTTTAAAGACTATTTGTTTAGTTCATAAACAATGCTGCCTTTGGCAGTGTGGCTTTCAATGGCGATCACGAGTGGGAGCCATAATGTAATTTTTCCCTCCCTAGCTAATTGTGCTGAGGTCCACACTCTGGGGTTCCCAAGCCTTGGCTCTTGCCAATCTGTGCCTAATACTTTCCAGAATTAGGTAAGCAGGATGTGTCCCTCCAGGGAGAGAGTGCGCATTCCATTCTCATAAAATCCACAAAATATACTGAACAGAAGGAACTAAGACTTGAATGTTAATAAGAATCAGAAATCAGCTATTTGTGAGCAACAGTTTTTGATATTGCCAATATAATGGCGAGAACACCTCAAAGTGCTTCACAAAGTTTCTGTGAAGTGTGGTGACAAACTTGGAATAAATAGAATTCCAGCATAGTCTCCACTGGCAAGCCTGCCTACAGGAACCTTGGATTTCTCTTTAGTGTCAAACACTTTCCTCTCTTTGTTGGCTCTTAACTTTCTATGTTACTCCTTAGTGGAGTCCTGTAGCTCAGTGGTTAGAGCACTCGCTTTGCAAGTGAGAGACCTGAGTTCAATTCCAGGCAGAGAGCGAAACCTTGGGCAAGTTTCCTTACTCCACACAGAGCCTAATAATAATCTCTCCAAAAAACAAAAACAATAATAAATTGGTCATTTTCAATCTACGACTGTTTGTGGGACATTGTTGTGCGCAATTGGCTGCCGCGTTCGCCCACAAATATATACAGTCAATTCACTTTACAGTGTGTTCTGTGAAGCGCCTTGGGACGTCCTCCTGACGTGAAAGGCGCTTTATAAATGGAATCTTGTTGTTGTTGTTGTTGTTGTATATCAAATGCAAGGATTATTATTATTATTATATTCCTCAAATATGCCAAAGCCTCTACGAATGCTCTCTGTATTGCCAAGGCACTTGAGGAGCCCTTGACAAGATCCAACCTTTCTCTCTCTCACACCGAATCACACACAAACACTAAATTTTCCAATTTTTCTCTTCTCTAAGAACATAAGAACATAAGAATTAGGAGCAGGAGTAGGCCATTCGGACCCTCTAGCCTGCCCCCCCATTCAATATGACCACGGCTGATCTATTCTAACTCCACGTACCTGTTTTATCCCCATAACCCTTAATCCACAAGAAATCTATCAATCTCAGCCTTGAATATGTACAACGACTGAGCATCTACAGCCCTTTGGTTTTTCCTCAACTCAGTGCGAAAAGGCTTACCCTTAATTTTAAGACTGTCACCCCATGTTATAGTTTCTCCAACCAAGGGAAAAAGTCTCCCACTGTCTATTCTGTCGTGCCCCTTAATAATCTTATAGGTTTCTATAACCTCTCATTCTTCTATATTCTGGAGAATATAGGCCTAAATTGCTCAACCTATCCTCATAACTCATCACCCTCATTCCTGCTACCAACCTAGTGAATCTACGTTGTACCCCCTCCAAGGCGAGTACATCCTTTCTTAAATAAGGAGACCAAAACTGCACACAATACTCTAGGTGCGGTCTCACCAGGGCCCTATACAGGTGTTCCTCCTAAATTCTAATTACACCATCCCATGTGCTCTCCCTCCTCCCTGCATCTTCTTTAATACCAAGACTCATTGCATTGTCTCTTATTCCAAGGGCTTATAATTATATATGCTTTTAAAACCCAAACTTGGTGACATCCAACCACTCCTTTTCAATTTATCTCATCTGATCTCCCATCCATGATCTCCCATTGAACTTGAAACTCATACAGTCTAAGCTGACAATCCAATTCAGTGTTGAATTGTCAGAGGTGCCATCCTTCGGATGAGACATTAAACCTGTTTGCCTGTTCAGGTGGATGTGCCAATCCAGTAAAAAAAGAGAAGGGAGTTTCACCCAGTATCTTGGCCAATAATCCTGCAAATAAAATGCAATCATTTCATTGCTGTGCGCAAATTGGCTGCCACATTTGTCCACAAAACGCAGTCACTCCACTTTACAGTATATACACTGAAACACTTTGGGAGGTCCTCCTGATGTGAAAGGCGATATGCCAAATGTAAGGATTATTCTTATTCTTATTATCAACCTTCCTGGTGTCCTGCACAAAGAGCCTTGGTCCATCACCTGGTTGTTTCGATTTCAGTTGGGGGAAAAAATGTAAAATATATGGTGCAAAGCAGAGAGAACAAATGCAAATATCAAATATGAGGATTATTTATTTATTTATAAATAAATAATAATCCTTGCATTTGATATAGCGCTTTTCACGTCGGGAGGACGTCTCAAAGCGCTTCACGGAATACACTGTAAAGTGAATTGACTGTATATTTGTGGGTGAACACGGCAGCCAATTGCGCACAGCAATATCCCACAACAGTCATAGATTGAAAATGACCAATTTTTTTTATTATTGTTTTTGGTTTTGGAGGGATTATTATTAGGTGTGTGGAGTAAGGAAACTTGCCCAAGGTTTCGCCCTGACCTGCCTGGAATTGAACTCAGGTCTCTCACTTGCAAAGCGAGTG